ACAGGCCTGTATATGTGCTGTCTTGAGCAGGGGGACCTTGCGGGCACTGCAGGATTTCAGTATTTCACGGCGTAGTGTGTTACCAATTGTTTTCTTGGTGACTATGGTCCCAGCTGCCTTGAGATCAATGACAAGATCCTCCTGTGTAGTTCTGGGCTGATTCCTCACCGTTCTCATGATTATTGCAACTCCACGAGGTGAGATTTTGCATGGAGCCCCAGGCCGAGGGAGATTGACAGTTATTTTGTGTTTCTTCCATTTGCGAATAATCGCACCAACTGTTGTCACCTTCTCACCAAGCTGCTTGGCGATGGTCTTGTAGCCCATTCCAGCCTTGTGTAGGTCTACAATCTTGTTCCTGACATCCTTGGAGAGCTCTTTGGTCTTGGCCATGGTGGAGAGTTTGGAATCTGATTGATTGATTGCTTCTGTGGACAGGTGTCCTTTTATATAGGTAACAAGCTGAGATTAGGAGCACTCACTTTAAGAGTGTGCTCCTAATCTCAGCTCGTTACCTGTATAAAAGACACCTGGGAGCCAGAAATCTTTCTGATTGAGAGGGGGTCAAATACTTATTTCCCTCATTAAAATGCAAATCAATTTATTACATTTTTGACATGCATTTTTCTGGATTTTTGTTGTTGTTGTTCTGTCTCTCACTGTTCAAATAAACCTACCATTAAAATTATAGACTGATCATTTCTTTGTCAGTGGGCAAACTTACAAAATCAGCAGGGGATCAAATACTTTTTTCCCTCACTGTACCGTATACCGCCCAAACCTAAAATAGAGTTTTGAGGTTTTGTTCTGCATATGTTGGTTTGTGTGTGATAAGAGTACTATGTCGTTGGCAAAGTCTAGGTCTTCTAGTTGGGTCCACTGTTTGTCGAAATGTTATCCTATCGACTGCCATCAGAAAGAGAAGGGGCAGCAGGCAGCCCTGTCGAAATCCTGTGTTTAGGTGAAGCTGTCAGTGAGGTGACCACTGTGTATTACTCTGCAGGATGACTGTAGGTATAACTTTGGTATGCCGTAGTGTGCCATGAGCTTCCACAAGGTTTCTCGGTCCAGACTGTTGAATGCTTTTTGAAAGTCAATGAATGTGAGGAGTAGAGCTGTGTTCCATTCCAGGGTCTGTTCAGCAATGATGCGAATGGTGGCAATGTGGTCGGTACATGATCTATCTTGTCGGAATCCTGCTTGTTTGTCTCTCAGTTCTTTGTCCAGTGCTTTTGAAAATCTTTCCAGGATGATCCTGCTCAAGACTTTTCCTGGCACAGATAAAAGCGTGATGCCCCTTTAGTTATTGCGGTCTCTGAGGTTGCCCTTTTTGGGAAGCTTTACCAAGTGTCCTTCTGTCCATTCGTTGGTACTCTTTCTTCGTCCCAAATCTGTCCCAGAAGTTGGTGCAGCATTTTGGTTGCTTTCTTAGGGTCTGCTCTGATGGCTTTTGGAGGTATTCTGTCAGGTCCTGGTGCTTTTCAGTTTTTGGATGTCTTTCTTTATTTCATGTTTACATGCCTTGTTGGTATTGACCTGAATAGGGTGTTCAGATTAAGGTATGTTGGCTGGCTCTATTGGTGTAGGTCTGTTTTAGTATCTCCTTAAAGTGTTCTTCCTATCTCTTTTCTTGTTTTTGTGAGTGCTTTGCCACTTTTGTCTGTCATTGGTCTGTCGGGGTGCTGTGCGTTTCCCTGCCATTTTCCGTGTGGTGTCGTAGAGCTCCTTCATGTTGTGTTGAGCTTCTGCTTGTGTGTTCTTCTCTTTTTTTTGTAATATATTCTATTGTAATTTTTACCTCCCTTTTTCTCCCCAATTTCGTGATTACGATCTTGTCTCATCGCTGCAACTCCCCAACGGGCTCGGGAGAGGCGAAGGTAGAGTCATGCGTCCTCCGAAACATGACCCACCAAACCGCACTTCTTAATTATCACCCGCTCGCTTAACCCGGAAGCCAGCCGCACCAATGTGTCGGAGGAAACACCGTTCAACTGATGACCGAAGTCAGCCTGCAGGCGCCCGGCCCGTCGCTAGAGCGCGATGAGCCAAACCCTCCCCTAACCCGAACGACACTGGGCCAATTGTGCGCCTGCACCGGTCACGGCCGTTAATGACACAGCCTGGGATTGAACCCCAGGCTGTAGTGACGCCGCAACACTGCGATGCAGTGCTTTAGACCGCTGCGCCACTCGGGAGGCCCGGTTCTTGTCTTATTTTATGCTCTTTTATACCTATATATACTTTTATATGCCTTGGAGTATACATGTTGTGCTTTTGCTGCTCTTGTGCGACAGTTGTTGAGGTTTGGCTTTGCCTGTTTCCGGTTTTGTATTTTCTCAAGACTCTCTCCCGAGATTAATTATTTGTGTTGTCTTGTTTTCCTTCCACTGGATTCCTTGTATGCCTCTGTCCACTCCTTCTTCATTCTCTGCCACCTCTGGTCCAGGGTATGCTCTTCTTCCTCATCAGCTGTCAAGAGGTTTGAACCTGTTAGAAAGGTTGATCTGAAATAGCGCTCTCATGTTCTGGTCTTGGAGTAGGCTGACATTAAATCTTGAACTGTTTTTTCTTGAGTTTCAGCCTGAGCAGTCCTATTATGAGGTGGTGGTCTGATGCTGCATTTTGCTGATGCATATATGATTTACATATCTGGCTTACCGTGGTCTGGAGATACCTATGTGGCCTTGTGCACTATTTTGTAAAGAAAGAAGTAGAAGACAATCCCTCCAATGGCAAGGTTGTGGAATGCTCAGAAGTCGCTGAATTGTTCTCCGTTGTTGAAGGGGGTCTACTTTGCAACTTCCTTTCGGCTTTGGTTGTGCTGCGTTATTCTTGTCTGACTTGAGACACCTTCCTTTTCCAAATCTTGCTGTAGATTATTTGTGAATATTTCTGTAAATGGTATTTTCCACTAAGTGGATGATTGGTCCAACTAGCTTTACCAGAGCCCTGTTGGCCAGCGTGTTTCCAGGTGGATCCAGACAGGTCTTCATGGTAGCTGTAGCGGCCTGGGTGGCAGAGCCACCCACCATACTTCGCCCTGTCTGGCAATCCCGTACTTTACCTGTTTCCGCCTCCCACGACTTGGACGATGGGTTGGGCTTTTGAGAGGCAACATTTTTCTGCAATGACCATAAGATTTTGCGCAAGATGTTGTCACACAAAATAGCTCTTGTTTTGTCAAACAATTTGCACCTGCAAATATTAGCGTCCTTCTTCTCTGACACACACAAACGCACACACACATGATACACACACACACACAAACACTCTGATATTTCTGTCTGTGTGAGATATAACCTATTTCAGGATGGTTTCAGTGTATGCAGCCATGCAATTCAACAGTATACAAACATGACCCACAAAGCAGCCATAGGTCCGAAGGAGGTCAGAGGACCGATAACATACTGACCAATCCCACGGTGTGCCTTGCAGGTCAAAGGTCGTTGATGTGCTTTTTTCTCTCTTTCTCTTTCGCCTTCTCTTTCTATCGCTCTCTATTTCTCTATCTCCCTCTCTCCCACCCATCCCACCCCCCTCACTCATTCTCTCCCCATTTCTCTCTCTCGCTCTCTCTCTCTCTTCATCCTCTCTCTCTCTATTTCTGTAGTGATGGAGACTACGGCTGTGAGTACCACCACTCTGGCCAATGATGAGTTTGACAGGAACGCGCCGCGGATCTGCGGTGTGTGCGGGGACAAGGCCTCCGGATTCCACTTCAACGCCATGACCTGCGAGGGCTGCAAGGGCTTCTTCAGGTATGGACACGCGCAAACACATGCACACACTCCTGGCAACAGCGAGACCCTCCATTGCGGGTGCACTCAGCCTTATCACGTTGTAAAACACTCTTGCTCTCTCTCTCTCTCGCTCTCTCTCTCTCTTACAGACATACACACAGAGCTATCTTGGCTCACTCTTTTTTTCTCAGGTAGTTGTGTGTGTCAGAGAAATAGGAAGCAGAAATGTCTTAACATATTTACAGTAATTACGTGTTGTGTGTGTGTGTCTCGTGGGTGAGTGTGTGTCTCATGTGGGTGTGTCTGTGTGTAAGTGCGTGTGAAGGAAGAAGGAAACAAATATTTATTTACAGTAATTATGACGTTAAAGAAAGAGAAAATGTGTTGTTGAATGAGAAGAAAGAAGGCTGAAGGGGTTTAAAAGAGAGGGAGGAGTTCCAAATAAAAAAGTGGTGTGACAGAAAGTGAGAAATGCAGATGTCACATCATGACTATATCAGACTGAAATGATTGGGTAAAATAGAGTCTGATGATGCTGTGTGTGTCACGAATGTTTACATACAGTGTGTTGCTGTCAGTTATTATGCATGGCTTTTAAGCATCCCCCTCTCTCTTTTTGCCTCGACTGGAATGTGTTCATGGTTGTGCTTCTTTGAGTAGGATCCAAAGTGAAGAGGTGAAGGACATCAATATTTATGTAACGATTACACATTTGGGTCCCACTTCGAACTGATGGATAGTAGAGCCGGGATGATGAACTGGAAATTACTGGCATCAACCAAACAGACCAGTCATCGAGGACATTATAATAATATTGTTAGTTACAAGTAGCCTATACTAAAGAAATGTGAAGTTTGAAATGAAATAAGTCTGCTAATATGGGCTTGTTATCAATTGATAACTATAACATTCAAAGTAGTAGTAGAAGTTTTAAGGGTAATATAAAAAACTGTGATGCACATGAATGTTATAAACTTATCGTTCTATTTATCGTTATCATGATAATATAGTCCGTTTATTGTAATACCCTCCCTCTATCCCTCTCTCTCCCTCTCCCCATCTCCCTCCCTCCCTCCCTCCCTCCCTCTATCCCTCTCTCTATCCCTCTCTCTCCCTCTCTCTCCCTCCCTCTCTCTCCCTCCCTCCCTCTCTCCCTCTCCCCATCTCCCTCCCTCTCCCTCCCTCCATCTATCTCTATCTCTCCCCCTCTCTCCCTCCCTCTCCCTCCCTCTATCCCTATCTCTCCCTCTTCCCCCTCTTCCTCTACAGACGCAGTATGAAGCGTAAGGCCAGCTTTACCTGTCCTTTCAACGGCAGTTGCACCATAACCAAGGACAACCGCCGCCACTGCCAGGCCTGCCGGCTCAAGCGCTGCGTGGACATCGGCATGATGAAGGAGTGTGAGTGTCTTGTTCACAGATCCAGGATCAGTTTCCACGTCAGTAAATCCTAATGTCAGCCATTAGTGGGAATAATGCAAAACTGACCTAAGATCAGCATGATTAAGGAATGTGAGTGTATGAGATCAGCTTCCCTATTTGACTGTAGAGCAGTGCCTAGGGGCAACCTTATCCCACTCCTCCTTCCTCATCATTTCTTCCATCAGAAATGCACTTTTTATTTTTGACTGAGAGCATAGCCTTGCAGATTAAAGTAGTTTCTTAATCCTGGTCCTGGGGACCCAAAAGGGTGCACATTCTTGTTTTTGCCCTAGTAGCATTACACACCTAATTCAAAGAATCAACTCACCATCAAACCTTTGATTAGTGGAATCAGGTGTGTAGTGCTAGGGCAAAAACAAAAATGTGCACCCATTAGTGTCCAGGACCAGGATTAAGAAACACTAGATTAGAGGCATTGAATCATGTGGTGTTGTCCTACTGAGGTATAATATCAGACATACACATGATCACACATACACAAACATTTTTTGAATTTTACTCTGAAGAGCACTACAGGAAGTAATGTATTTTCAGCCTGTTGTTTGGCAAATACACTCATTTTCCTCCATGAGTGGCTGAATGATCTCTTAAATTATGAATGATCTCTTGAACCATGACGATGTGTGTGTTGAAAAGAGTAGGGAGGGTCTGAAAGTGCACTAAAGAGAGAAATTAGCTTCTATCAGTCAGTGGCAACTGTTGATGGCATGTAATGACACACTGATAACAGGAAATAATTCAGCCACTCTTGGAGGAAAAATGGGAATTCAAACGAAAGAGCTTCTTTCCTCTTAGAAGCAAATACGTGTCAGCATTAAAACATGTATTACCGTGCCAATAGCAATAACAAACACCCACACAAACGCACACACAGGAAACATATCACAGCGCCATATACCCCCCCCTTTGAGCCTGTAGAGAACAAGGCACATACCGTATAGTTTTTGTTATATACCAATAGTGTTACGCAACGTTTGGACTCCTTCTAAGCCATTGCCCTCATAACAATGTTTAAAATGTCCACTAGGATTACTAGATCGTTCCGGGAGAGCCTGTACATTACGCTCCCATCTGAACTTTAGACACCTGCTGATGTTTTGTCCAACGTACTCCGTTTGTTTTCAGAGTCCGTAAATAGAAGGTTTCCCGTGAATTCCGGATATTGTCCAGGCGGGTGTTTAGAATTTGTATTTGAAGCAGGGGCTGGTTTCCGGATGTTGTTCTCCCTCTGAGATTGAACAGTGAATTCCCGGAGAGTGATGCTACTGCTCCGAACACTGTACATGAATGGGAGCCAGTGGAATGCACTTATGCTGATGCTCTTGGTGCTGCTGCTGCATCGACAACAACACGTTGTAGTGCGGCGCGGAGTGTGAGCTAATTCAGTGGCTGGGGCAACAACAGGCGTAACAGAACGGAGACAATGCGTGCTGTGTTGACGACAGCACTAGGGAGTCTTTTTCACGGACCCCCCCCCGACAACAACAAGCCCCTCCGATGCGGGCGCAGCGGCAGCCTTATCACATTGTGGAACACACGCTGGCTTGTGCTTGTGTACACACACACTTACATGCGCTAGTTCTAACACACACACACAGCATCAGTGTTAACATCTCTATTTTGCCGATGTCCCAATTAGGGCTGGGTGATATATCGTGTATACCGGTATGACTCAACATACCGATATGATTTTTACAAAACCATCTATAATGATGTTGTGATACAAAGCTAAATTAAATGAAAAGTTCTACAAATTGGACTATTTCACTGTCAGTTTTGGCCTAGTTTGTTTCAGTATAAAACCATCATAATGGAGAAAGACCATTAAAATCACTTAGAATTTATTTTGTTGCCGTTCTAGGGTCATGCACTAATCATAAAACACATTTCAAACTTTTGTTATTAGAAACATTAAATAGTCAAATACCACCATACCGTCAAAAATGAGAAAGATATTGGGAAATTATATTTTGGTCATATCGCCCAGCCCTAGTCATTTCAGTCTGATATAGTCATGATGTGACATCTGCATTTCTCACTTTCTGTCACACCACTTTTTTATTTGGAACTCCTCCCTCTCTTTTAAACTCCTTAAAGGCCTAGTCAAAAGTCAGCTTTTCCTGTGTTTTATATCATATTATACAACATCTGATGAAACTAACACTGTAAAAGTGTGACATTTTTTATCAGTGTTATTTCAGGTCTGTCTAATCAGCATGACATCACCATGCGGGAAATTGGTTAATAGACCAATAAAGAGAGTTCCAAAGCCAATAACAGCTAGTTTTCAGTTTTCTCCTTCAAACTCAGTCCACTCCCAGACAGTCCTAGCAAAATTATTGTTTGAGAAATCGTTTTTTTGCCATTTTAATGGAAATCTACAGTAAGGTACTTAATTGTTACCCAGAAATGATTTGATATTGATATAAAAACGGCTGCATTCAATAACACATTCTCTCTTTCTTTCTTTATCTCTCTCTCTCTCTCTCCTCTCTCCTTCTTATCTTCCTCCTCTCTCTCTCTCTCTCTCTCTCCTCCTCCCTCCTCTCCTCTCTCTCTCCTCTCTCTCTCTCTCTCTCTCTCTCCTCTCTCTCTCTCTCTCTCTCTCTCTCTCTCTCTCTCTCTCTCTCTCTCTCTCTCTAATCCATTTTTATAACCCTTTCTCCTTCTGTCTTTCTTGCTCTGACCTCTTTCTGATCTCTTCCTGCTCAAAATGCCTCTTCCACATTCTCCTTCTAAACCTCTGTCTCCCAGTCATTCTGACAGACGAGGAGGTGCAGAGGAAGAAGGATCTGATCCAGCGGAGGAAGGATGAGGAGGCGCAGAGGGAGGCACAGCGGCCCCGTCTGAGCGAGGAGCAGAGCCAGGTCATCGCCACGCTGGTTGAGGCACACCACAAGACCTACGACGACTCTTACTCCGACTTCAACCGCTTCAGGGTCCGTGTCCACTCAGTAACACCAGTCTCCACTCTGTAGTGCCAACTCCATAACTCCACCCTCCCCTCCGTAACTCCACCCTCCCCTCCGTAACACCAGCCTCCCCTCCGTAACTCCACCCTCCCCTCCGTAACACCACCCTCCCCTCCGTAACTCCACCCTCCCCTCCGTAACTCCACCCTCCCCTCCGTAACTCCACCCTCCCCTCCGTAACACCAGCCTCCCCTCCGTAACACCAGCGTCCACTCCGTAACACCACCCTCCCCTCCGTAACACCACCCTCCCCTCCGTAACACCACCCTCCCCTCCGTAACACCAGCGTCCACTCTGTAACACCACCCTCCCCTCCGTAACACCACCCTCCCCTCCGTAACACCAGCCTCCACTCCGTAATACCAGCCTTCATTCTTTAATATCTGTCTTCACTTAGTAACACTAGTCTCTAATCTGTAACACCAGTATTCACTCCAAAACATCAGTCTCCACTCCATTACACCAGTGTCAACTCCGTAACACCATAGCTCCTGGGATGAAACTCCTCCCGAAGTGTGCAGTGTGGCATTTAATTGTCCAATGGTCAGTGATACACACTATATTGAGTACCTGTGGTCTTGTATGGCTCAGTTGGTAGTAGGGCTGTCCCCGACAAAAAAAGAAGAAGTATTGGTCGACTGAAAGTCGTCTGTTCTTTCGACCAATCGATTGGTCAAAATGTTAAAACGTATATTTTTACATATCTAGACACACCCTATGTGTTTTAATAAAATCAACTATATATGCATTGAGCTTGTCTGATGCTTTAATAAGTGCACTGTTTAAAGAAAGAAGACACAAATGACTCAAGAGGGAGCCAGAGATCAAGATAACCAGAATAAATAAACTTTACATGTCCCGTCCATCTTCCTCCCGCTCCAACTGGCTTTCGCAGATTCTGCCGTTACTCTCCAGAAGTTGCCAGTAATAACCTACATGAGGAGTCAGCAAACTTTCTCATGTGGACTGCCAATATATTTTACCATTTCTACCGTTCTGCGTGCCAGTTATGGTTTTCATATGCACATTTCTGTGGAACAATTTAATTTAATTTATAATAGTATCTTTGTATCTCAAAATCATTGTCATGTGGTTAATCAGTGGCCTGAAGGGTCTACAGGGGGTCCAGAGAAACCCCTGAAGATTCTGAGTAAAACCGCATCTAATTGAAATCTAAATGAAAACGACACAAACCCAAACCTAAAAAGTAACTTCTATTACCATAGCCAACTACTGTATGAAAGAGAGCCTATAAAGCCAACAAATAAATAAAAACATTGTAGCCTGCAGGTAGAAAATATCCTGATAAAAATAAATATCCTATAAATCACATCAATCTACACACAATACCCCATAATCACAAAGCAAAAACAAGTTTTTAGACATGGTAGGAAATGTATTAAATAAAAAAAAGGAAATATCAAATTTACATAAGTATTCAGACTCTTTACTCAGTACTTTGTTGAAGCACGTTTGGCAGCGATTACAGCCTCAAGTGTTCTTGAGTATGACACTACAAGCTTGGCACACCTGTATTTGGGGAGTTTCTCCCATTCTTCTCTGTAGATCTTCTCAAGCTCTGTCAGGTTGGATGGGAAGCGTTGCTGCACAGCTATTTTCAGGTCTCTCCTGAGATGTTAGATTGGGTTCAAGTCCGGGATCTGGCTGGGCCACTCAAGGACATTCAGAGACTTGTCCTGAAGCCACTCCTGCGTTGTCTTGACGCTCTTGTTGGCTGGTCCTCACTACATGTTCGTCGTCAAACCCACTGGCTCCAGGCCATCTATAAATCACTGCTAGGCAAATCCCCGCCTTATCTTAGCTCATTGGTCACCATAGCAGCACCCACCCGTAGTCTGCGCTCCAGCAGGTATATCTCACTGGTCATTCCCAAAGCCAACACCTCCTTTGGCCGCCATTCCTTCCAGTTCTCTGCTGCCAATGACTGGAACGAATTGCAAAAATCTCTGAAGCTGGAGACTCTTATCTCCCTCAATAACTTTAAGCATCAGTTGTCAGAGCACCTTACCGATCACTGCACCTGTACACAGCCCATCTGAAATTAGCCCACCCAACTACCTCATCCCTATATTGTTATTTATTTTGCTCATTTGCACCCCAGTATCTCTATTTGCACATAATCTCTTGCACATCTAGCATTCCAGTGTTAATACTATTGTAATTATTCTGCACTATAGCCTATTTATTGCCTTACCTCCATAACTTGCTACATTTGCACACACTGTATATATATTTTCTGTTGTATTTCTGACTTTATGTTTTTTACCCCATATGTAACTCTGTGTTGTTGTTTTATTGTACTACTATGCTTTATCTTGGCCAGGTCGCAGTTGTAAATGAGAACCTGTTCTCAACTGGCTTACCTGGTTAAATAAAGGTGAAAAAAAAATAAAAAATATTGGCTGTGTGCTTAGGGTCGTTGTCCTGTTGGAAGGTGAACCTTCGCCCCAGTCTGAGGACCTGAGCAGGTTTTCATCAAGGATCTCTCTGTACTTTGCTCTGTTCATCTTTCCCTCGATCCTGACTAGTCTCCCAGTCCCTGCCGCTGAAAAACATCCCCACAGCATGATGCTGCCACCACCATGCTTCACCGTAGGGATGGTGCCAGGTTTCCTCTAGACGTGACGCTTGGCATTCAGGCCAAAGAGTTCAATCTTGGTTTCATCAGACCAGAGAATCTTGATTCTCATGGTCTGAGAGTCCTTTAGGTGCCTTTTGGCAAACTCCAAGCGGGCTGTCATGTGCCTTTTTCTGAGGAGTGGCTTCCATCTGGGAACTCTACCATAAAGGCCTGATTGGTGGAGTGCTGCAGAGATGGTTGTCCTTCTGGAAGGTTCTCCCATCTCGACAGAGGAACTCTGGAGCTCTGTCAGAGTGACCATCAGGTTCTTTGTCACCTCCCTAACCATGGCCCTTCTCCCCCGATTGCTCAGTTTGGCCAGGCACCCAGCTCTAGGAGAGTCTTGGTGGTTCTAAACTTCTTCCATTTAAGAATGATGGAGGCCACTGTTTTCTTGTGGACCTTCAATGCTCCAGAAATGTCTTGATAACTTTCCCCAGATTTGTGCCTCGACAAGATCCTGTCTCTGAGCTCTACGGACAATTCCTTCGACCTCATGGCTTGGTTTTTGCTCTGACATGCGCTGTCAACTGTGGGACCTTTTATATAGACAGGTGTGTGCCTTTCCAAATCATGTCCAATCAATTGCATTTACCACAGGTGGACTCCAATCAAGTTGTAGAAACTTCTCAAGGATGATCAATGGAAACAGGATGCACCTGAGCTCAATTTAAAGTATCATAGCAAAGGTTCTGAATACTTATGTAAATAAGGTATTTCTGTTTTTTATTTGTTATAAATTTGCAAACATTTCTAAAAACCTGTTTTCGACTTTGCCATTATGGGGTATTGTGTGTAGATTGATGAGGAACATTTTTTATTTAATACATTTTAGAATAAGGCTGTAACGTAACAACGTGGAAAAAGGGAAGGGGTCTGAACACTTTCCGAATGCACTGTATATATGCTACTGCTCGACAAAATAAATGTTGGTTGACCAACAGCCTATCGACCAAACAATCGACCAGTTGACTAGTTGGGTCAGCCCTAGTTGGTACAGCATGGCATGGTGCTTGCAATGCCAGGATTGTAGGTTCGATTTTATATTTATGTAAAAATGTATGCTAAATGCTTTGTGTGTTTTCCTTTATAGCCTCCGGTCCGAGAAGGCCCAGTGACACGCAGTGCCAGCAGAGCTGCCTCTCTCCACTCTCTGTCTGATGCCTCATCTGACTCCTTCAGCCACTCTCCAGGTAAACAAACGGCAGTGTGCTTCTAACAGCTTCGCTTCCTCCACTGTCCCTGTCCCCTTACTGGGCTTGAACCAGTGGTCCTCTGATTGCAAGCACGTGACAACTTACCATCCAGTTGTGCTATAGAAAAGGATTAGTTTCGATAGCACCATTGCCGATATTTCAAGCTAGCTGTGGAGTGAGCTTATGGCACGTTCTTACATCCATTAGACAGGCACGCACGCAGAAAAATGGGAAAAGGTGTGGTGCCAGGACAACAACCTCTCCCTCAATGTGATCAAGACAAAGGAGATGATTGTGGACTACAGGAAAAAGAAGAGGACCGAGCACGCCCCCATTCTCATCGACAGGGCTGGAGTGGAGCAGGTTGAGAGCTTCAAGTTCCTTGGTGTCCACATCACCAACAAACTAGCATGGTCCAAGCACACCAAGACAGTCGTGAAGAGGGCACGACAAAACCTATTCCCCCTCAGGAGACTGAAAAGATTTGGCATGGGTCCTCAGATCCTCAAAAGGTTCTACAGCTGCACCATCGAGAGCATCCTGACTGGTTGCATCACAGCCTGGAATGGCAACTGCTCGGCCTCCGACCGCAAGGCACTACAGAGGGTAGTGCGTACGGGGGCCATCCAGGACCTCTATACCAGGTGGTGTCAGAGGAAGGCCCTAAAAATTGTCAAAGACTCCAGCCACCCTAGTCATAGACTGTTCTCTCTGCTACCGCATGGCAAGCGGTACCGGAGCACCATGTCTAGGTCCAAGAGGCTTCTAAACAGCTTCAACCCCCAAGCCATAAGACTCCTGAACAGCTAATCAAATGGCTACCTAGACTATTTGCATTGCCCTCCCCCCTCTTTTACGCTGCTGCTACTCTCTGTTTATTATCTATGAATAGTCACTTTAATAACTCTACCTACATGTACATATTACCTCAATTACTTCGACTAACCGGTGCCCCCACACATTGACTCTCTGGGTGTAAATAGCCTCGCTATTGATATTTTACTCTTGTTATTTTACTGCTGCTCTTTTGTTACTTTTATTTCATTTTTTTGGGGGGGGGGTATTCTTTCTTAAAACTGCATTGTTGGTTAAGGGCTTGTAAGTAAGCATTTCACTGTAAGATCTACACCTGTTGTATTTGGCACATGTGACGATTACAATTTGATTTGATTTTAGGTAAGAAATTAAGAATCAGAGGGTGTAGCGGACACACAGAGAGGGAGATGGTGGAGATCACACACACTTGGTGTTAGTTGTCATCAGTGATTGCGTCCTGTGTGTTTGTGTGTGAGCTCTCTCCTGCTCCCGTGTGTGTGTGTGTGTGTGTGTGTGTGTGTGTGTGTGTGTGTGTGTGTGTGTGTGTGTGTGTGTGTGTGTGTGTGTGTGTGTGTGTGTGTGTGTGTGTGTGTGTGTGTGTGTGTGTGTGTGTCAATCCCTCATGCGGTTTTACTCAGAATCTTCAGGGGTTTCTCTGGACCCCCTGTAGACCTTCAGACCACTGTCTCCCAGTAGTTAACAGTCTCCCATTAACACATCCTCTCATAATGGAGTGAACTCACAGAGGGACACGGCCCTCACAGCCTGAGTTCCCTGGCTATAAAAACAGCACAGGGATATTGTATGATACATGTGTTTTTCTACCTGTTTTTATTTCCCTTTATTAATTTATTTATTTCTCACTTGCTCCTTATCTTTCTTTCTCTCTCCTTTTCTTTCTAAATCTCTTCCGTTCTTTATTCCTGTCACTTTCTCTCTATGTATCTCTACTTCTGTTTCTCTCTCTCTCTGTCTTACTCTTATCTAAGTTGTTTTCTGATGGTCACTGTGTTCCCTTCCTCAATGAACAAACCTCGCTCTGTGTTGAGTCATTCATTAGATTTACGTGTGGGTGGGTGGGTGTGTGCATTTGTGTGTGTGCGAGTGTGTGCAAGTGTATCTATCTCTCTATCTATTTATCTATCTATCTATCTATCTACCTATCTACCTACCTACCTCAAATCAAATCAAATCAAATTGTATTGGCCACATGCGCCGAATACAACAGGTGCAGACATTACAGTGAAATGCTTACTTACAGCCCTTAACCAACAGTGCATTTATTTTTAACAAAAAAGTAAAAATAAAACAACAACAAAAAAAGTGTTGAGAAAAAAAGTAAAATAAGTAAAATAAAGAAGTAAAATAAAATAACAGTAGGGAGGCTATATATACAGGGGGGTACCGGTGCAGAGTCAATGTGCGGGGGCACCGGCTAGTTGAGGTATTTGGGGTAATATGTACATGTGGGCAGAGTTAAAGTGACTATGCATAAATAATTAACAGAGTAGCAGCAGCGTAAAAGGATGGGGTGGGGGGGCAGTGCAAATAGTCCGGGTAGCCATGATTAGCTGTTCAGGAGTCTTATGGCTTGGGGGTAGAAGCTGTTGAGAAGTCTTTTGGACCTAGACTTGGCACTCCGGTACCGCTTGCCGTGCGGTAGCAGAGAGAACAGTCTATGACTAGGGTGGCTGGAGTCTTTGACAATTTTCAGGGCTTTCCTCTGACACCGCCTGGTATAGAGGTCCTGGATGGCAGGAAGCTTGGCCCCAGTGATGTCCTGGCCGTACGCACTACCCTCTGTAGTGCCTTGCGGTCGGAGGCCAAGCAGTTGCCATACCAGGCGGTGATGCAACCAGTCAGGATGCTCTCGATGGTGCAGCTGTAGAATTTTTTGAGGATCTGAGGACCCATGCCAAATCTTTTCAGTCTCCTGAGGGGGAATAGGCTTTGTCGTGCCCTCTTCACGACTGTCTTGGTGTGTTTGGACCAGGATAGTTCGTTGTGATGTGGACACCAAGGAACTTGAAGCTCTCAACCTGTTCCACTACAGCCCCGTCGATGAGAATGGGGGCGTGCTCAGTCCTCTTTATTTTCCTGTAGTCCACAATCATCTCCTTTGTCTTGGTCACGTTGAGGGAGAGGTTGTTGTCCTGGCACCACACGGCCAGGTCTCTGACCTCCTCCCTATAGGCTGTCTCATCGTTGTCGGTGATCAGGCCTACCACTGTTGTGTCGTCGGCAAACTTAATGATGGTGTTGTAGTCGTGCCTGGCCATACAGTCATGGGTGAACAGGGAGTACAGAAGGGGACTGAGCACGCACCCCTGAGGGGCCCCCATGTTGATGATCAGCATGGCAGATGTGTTGTTACCTACCATTACCACTTGGGGGCAGCCCGTCAGGAAGTCCAGGATCCAGTTGCAGAGGGAGGTGTTTAGTCCCAGGATCCTTAGCTTAGTGATGAGCTTTGAGGGCACTATGGTGTTGAATGCTGAGCTGTAGTCAATGAATAGCTGTCTCACGTAGGTGTTCCTCTTGTCCAGGTGGGAAAGGGCAGTGTGGAGTGCAATAGAGATTGCATCATCTGTAGATCTGTTGGGGCGGTATGCAAATTGGAGTGGGTCTAGGGTTTCTGGGATAATGCTGTTGATGTGAGCCATGACCAGCCTTTCAAAGCACTTCATGGCTACAGACGTCAGTGCTACGGGTCGGTAGTCATTTAGGCAGGTTATCTTAGAGTCCTTGGGCACGGGGACTATGGTGGTCTGCTTGAAACATGTTGGTATTACAGACTCAGTCAGGGACATGTTGAAAATGTCAGTGAAGACACTTGCCAGTTGGTCAGCACATGCTCGTAGTACACGTCCTGGTAATCCGTCTGGCCCTGCGGCCTTGTGAATGTTGACCTGCTTAAAAGTCTTACTCACATCGGCTACGGAGAGCGTGATCACATAGTCATCCGGAACACCTACCTACCTACCTACCTACCTACCTACCTACCTACCTACAGTGGGGAGAACAAGTATTTGATACACTGCCGATTTTGCAGGTTTTCCTATTTACAAAGCATGTAGAGGTCTGTAATTTTTATCATAGGTACACTTCAACTGTGAGAGAATCCAGAAAATCACATTGTATGATTTTTAAGTAATTAATTTGCATTTTATTGCATGACATAAGTATTTGATACATCAGAAAAGCAGAACTTAATATTTGGTACAGAAACCTTTGTTTGCAATTACAGAGATCATACGTTTCCTGTAGGTCTTGACCAGGTTTGCACACACTGCAGCAAGGATTTTGGCCCACTCCTCCATACAGATCGTTCAGGTTTCGGGGCTGTCGCTGTGCAATACGGACTTTCAGCTCCCTCCAAAGATTTTCTATTGGGTTCAGGTCTGGAGACTGGCTAGGCCACTCCAGTACCTTGAGATGCTTCTTACGGAGCCACTCCTTAGTTGCCCTGGCTGTGTGTTTCGGGTCGTTGTCATGCTGGAAGACCCAGCCATGACCCATCTTCAATGTAGTTCTGGGCTGATCCCTCACCTTCCTCATGATCATTGATGCCCCACGAGGTCAGATCTTGCATGGAGCCCCAGACCGAGGGTGATTGACCGTCATCTTGAACTTCTTCCATTTTTTAATAATTGCACCAACAGTTGTTGCCTTCTCACCAAGATGCTTGCCTATTGTCCTGTAGCCCATCCCAGCCTTGTGCAGGTCTACAATTTTATCCCTGATGTCCTTACACAGCTCTCTGGTCTTGGCCATTGTGGAAAGGTTGGAGTCTGTTTGATTGAGTGTGTGGACAGGTGTCTTTTATACAGGTAACGAGTTCAAACAGGTGCAGTTAATACAGGTAATGAGTGGAGAACAGGAGGGCTTCTTAAAGAAAAACTAACAGGTCTGTGAGAGCTGGAATTCTTACTCATTGGTAGGTGATCAAATACTTATGTCATGCAATAAAATGCAAATTGATTACTTAAAAATCATACAATGTGATTTTCTGGATTTTTGTTTTAGATTCCGTCTCTCACAGTTGAAGTGTACCTATGATAAAAAATTACACACCTCTACATGCTTTGTAAGTAGGAAAACCGGCAGTGTATCAAATACTTGTTCTCCCCACTCTATCTATCTATATATATCTCTCTCTCTCTCTCTCTCTCTCTCTCTCTCTCTCCCTCTCTCTCCGTGTCCCCCTCCCCTTCCCTTTTTTTCTGCAGAATCGGTGGACACTTATCTGAAGGGAATGTTGTTTTTCTCCTAAGAGTTTTAACTCATCTAATCTCTCTCACCCCCTCCACTCTCAACCCCCCCCCCCCCCCTCTCTCCCTCTCAACCCCCCCCCCCCCCCCCCCCCCCCCCCCCGCCCCCTTTCTCCTACACCCTCCCTCCATATAGAGTCAGTGGACACTAAGCTGATGAACTTCAGTAACCTGCTGATGATGTACCAGGAGCAGGGGGGCAGCCCGGACTCCGACGACGACGGCTCCAAGCTCTCCATGCTGCCCCACCTGGCCGACCTGGTCAGCTACAGCATCCAGAAGGTCATCGGCTTCGCCAAGATGATCCCCGGCTTCAGGTGGGTGGAGGGCTGAGTGGGGTGAGGGGGTTGGGGTGGGTGGGTTAGGTAGGGGATGAGGGGATAGCAAGGGGGGTAAATGTATGTATGTGTGTGTGGGGGGGTGTACTGTACATTGTGTGCTAGTTGTTTTTTTGAGAGAGAGATTGTGTGTGTGCGCGCGTGCGTTCGTTTGTGTGTGTGATCCTACAATGTGCACAAAAAAATTACAAATATTGTGTGTGATACTCCAATATGACTATAGGCAGTTGCCCTGAAAATTGATTGAACTCTACGTGGCATGAATGTAAACAAAGCCTTATTTGTGTGTTTACTCGTTTAAGGGTCTGAGTGTTCCTACAAACAAGGACAAGTGTGCCTTTAGTTATCTTTTGTTATCAGCAGCTGATATCTGTCCTACACGTGGCGCGAGTGGCTGTCGTCACAGTAAACATTAGCATGTGTGGTCGTCACTGTGTACGTTCTGTCTTCATCCCCCCCGGGTGGCAGAGGAAAGTGTGGTCGAGGACACAGTAACAGGCTTTGTTAGTAATGATCACGTAAGCTGTCTTCTGACCCAAGAAACGCTTTGAGCTTAAAGGCTTGTCAGTGCTCTACAATTAATGTAATATAGCCATTGCTTCTCAGAGACTATACAACTGAATCTAAGGTTGTATTGCTCAAATGTTTTTTGCTGTCTGTTGAGTCTTTGTTAACAAACATTGTATAGCTTCAATATGTTGAAAACTAGTTATTGCATCCATAGCTCCATTTATGCATTTGAGAGTGGTTCTTTGTCCAGCCCCATCCCTCAGCTTTAAAGCAAGCCAAGTGGCAGAGACAGGCTGTCGAAATTACAGCTTGCGCCTTTAACGTCACTCTGAAGATGTGATTGGTTGATTAGGTCGAAGGTCATATTGCGTCAGTAAAGAACTAGGGTTCTTCAGTACGTTTACCCTGAAATAGTACAAAGAATACAAAACAAATCCTCAAAAGTAATAAATGTTTCAATTAAATTCTATACAACTTAATTTAACCCCTCAGGGGCTATAATGCCTGATTGCAGCGCATTAGCCATGACGGATATACGAGTTCCTGCGGAAACTCTTAACTTCTGCCGTGACAGATATGACATGTCGGGTTGTTGTTTTTTCACCCGGCAACGCAAGGCCTGTTGTCGTACAGTGTTTGCTCCTTTCAGTGCATGTCGAGTTTGCCAACAGAGGCCATCGCTCAGTGTCATGGAAAGGTAATGGGGCCTGCACTGGTGCATGTGTGAGATACAGCGCCTTACAACCCTAGACAATTATTGATCTTGATTGCACAACACAACTGCTCAAACTAATGGGTATACATGGTAACTCAATGACATGGTTGCAAAACCGCCTACATGAACTTCCTTATATCGCCACTTGTGTGTGGAGTTTATGAAGGTGTTATGAATAGCCAATAACTATCTTGTGCCCCATCTACCTAAAGTGTTACCAGATCCTTCCACTTAAAAACTCTGACATTGATTTACCCACTATAGCTAGATCTAGATACCCCAGCCTTTTTTTAACTTAACCCGTCTGACCGTTAGCCCACTGTGCGACTGAAACAACAGATTTTTGACCAATCAGATAGCGTGGTCTGGAACCAACTATCTCCTAAATCTCAGTCTACAACCCCATCCTTTTAACCCCTGTCTGACCTAAAAGAGGACCGTAAGCCGACTGATTATGGCCACTTCTTTTAACAGATGCCATCTTCCTGATTCACATTCGTTAACTACCAAACGGAAGAAAAACGACTTAAACAGGGAGGGGGACTACCTGAACTTGTCTAATGAGAAATGCTTGTTTCTGTTTTTCCCTGTACAATCTTTTTTTCTGCGGTGTGCACTAATGAATACAACCCTGGTTGTAATCAGGGAGCTGACGGCTGAGGACCAGATTGCCCTGCTCAAGTCGAGTGCCATCGAGGTGATAATGCTGCGCTCCAACCAATCCTTCAACCTGGAGGACATGTCCTGGAGCTGCGGAGGGCCCGACTTCAAGTACTGCGTCAACGACGTCACTAAAGGTACGAGACTGAGGCAGGCTAGCACACACACACGTATGTTTGCGGACGGAACACACACCTTGAGATCGATATGCAGTCAAAACCATTGTACTGTGTCAACGATGGCACTAACAAACACACAAACACCAGTCATTTCGCTTAGAGGACATGTTCTGAAACTGTGGGGGACCCCACTTTACAAAAGGCGAGGCAGTGTAACACACGGACAAACTCACACACACTCATTTGACAACCATTGCTGTCACTAAAGGTGAGCGAGAAAGGGTAACAAAAATGGATGCATGTGTGCAGGCACAAAACACACCAATGCACATTCTCCAATACACTCTCCAGTACATGTCCCGGGGCCTTCCTATCATGACTGTGTCAGTTCCGTCAGGAAAACTGAAATGGAGTGTAACACACTTTGGCACGTGTACCTACACACACACCATACACCCATCCGCAAACCCTCAAGGCATGGTATTCATTTGCCTTTCAAACAAGCCCCTGGTATTTTTACAGATCAACTGAAGAATGTCACTCCCGACCCTCTCACAAAGCATCTGGTGTCTCACAGAACTAAGTTGGTTTTGTTCTAGAAGACAAACCAGGGCGTCTCTGTGACTTACCAGTCAATTGGAGTTTGAGTCGGGCTCGACAGCAAACTACTAGCCAGACTTTTCCTGAAAACAAGCGTTGTACCCATTTTATCTTCACTCAGAATGACGCTGTTGTTGTTGTAGTTTCCGTCTACAACGCTACGACATGTATGATATACAGTTAATACATTTCTTATCTCATGAAACCACACAAATCCTTAGTGTTAGTGAAACCATATGAAAAAAGTATGAAATAAGATGAGTAATTGGAAATTAACCTGTAAATCTTTGAAAATGGCATTGGAACGAGTGTTAGGGAAACCATAATCAACAGTGATTTGTTATCTGGGCCCTTGTAATCTAGGAGCGCTAAACTAGTGTCACGCCCTGGCTCTGGGGACACTGTTATGTTGAGCCAGGGTGTGTAGATCTATGTTCTCTATTTCTATGTTGGCCTGAGTGACTCCCAATCAGAGGCAACGAGTGTCAGCTGTTTGCTGGTTGTCTCTGATTGGGAGCCATATTTAAACTGTCGGTTTTTCCTTTGTTTTTTGTGGGTTCTTGTTTCAAGTTGGTTGTGTTTGACCGTGTACTGTCATGTTACCGTCTTTGTTGTTTTGATCGCGTTTCGCTCAATAAAGAGTATGTTTGCCTGCAACGCTGCGCCTTGGTCCTCATCTGTTCCCGACGATCGTGACAGAAGAACCCACCAAGACAGGACCAAGCAGCGTGAAGAGGAGAGAGGAAGGACTTGGGATCAGTGGAGTAGGAGTCTCGACTGGGCCAAGCCAAGTGAAGAGCAGAGAGGTTGGACTATGGAGCAGTGGATTAAGAGTCTCGACTGGGCCAAGCCAAGTGAAGAGCAGAGAGGTTGGACTTTGGAGCAGTGGGGTGAGAGTCTGGCGAGAACTAGGGAGGCCTGGTCCACGGGGAGGAGAGACCCCCAGAAATTTTTTTGGGGGGGGCTCACGTCGTGGACGACGGGGCAGCAGGAGGCCGCGATGGAGCGGTCCAGCGGGTGCGCAGAGGAGGCCGCCAGGTTAAGGGGGCCACTGGTCACAGAGGAGAGGGAAAGTGTGGAGGCACGGCGAGAGGTACTGGGGTGTGTTACCAGTCCGGTCGGGCCCGTTCCTGATCTCTGTGTAGGGCCAGTGGTGTGTGTCCCCAGTGCGGTCCGGTCTGTTCCTGTTCCTCGCATCGAGCCTGTGGTGCGCGTCGCCAGCCCGGTCCGGCCTGTTCCTGTTCTCCGCATTGAGCCTGTGGTACGCTTCGTCAGCCCAGTCCGGCCCATTCCTGCTCCCCGCACCAAGTCTGTGGTGCGTCTCGTCAGCCCGGCTCGACCCGTTCCTGCTCCCCGCACCAAGTCAGTGGTGCGCTTCGTCAGCCCGGCTCGGCCCATTCCTGCTCCCCGCACCAAGTCTGTGGTGCGTTTCGTCAGCCCGGCTCGGCCCATTCCTGCTCCCCGCACCAAGTCTGTGGTGCGTTTCGTCAGCCCTGTCCGGCCCGTTCCTGCTCTCCGCACCAAGTCTGTGGTGCGCGTCGCCAGCCCAGTCCGGCCCATTCCTGCTCCCCGCACCAAGTCTGTGGTGCGTTTCGTCAGCCCTGTCCGGCCCGCTCCTGCTCTCCACACCAAGCCAGTGGTGTGCGTCGTCAGTCCAGCACGGCCCGTGCCTGTTCCCCGCACCAAGCCAGGGGTGCGTATCGTCAGCCCGGTCCGGTCCATTCCTGCTCCACGCACCAAGCCAGGGGTGTGTATCGTCAGCCCGGTCCGGCCAGTTGCTACTCCACGCACCAAGCCAGGGGTGCGTGTCGTCAGTCCGGCTCCGGCCAGCGGGGCCAGACCGGACCAGGGATACTTTGGGGGGTTGGAGAGGGAGTGGGGATCGGGCCCAGAGCCGGATCCGCCGCCAAGGCGGAGTGCCCACCCGATCCCTCCCCTGTGGTATTTAGTTGGCGCGGTCGGAGTCCGCGCCTTTAGGGGGGGGTACTGTCACGCCCTGGCTCTGGGGACACTGTTATGTTGAGCCAGGGTGTGTAGATCTATGTTCTCTATTTCTATGTTGGCCTGAGTGACTCCCAATCAGAGGCAACGAGTGTCAGCTGTTTGCTGGTTGTCTCTGATTGGGAGCCATATTTAAACTGTCGGTTTTTCCTTTGTTTTTTGTGGGTTCTTGTTTCAAGTTGGTTGTGTTTGACCGTGTACTGTCACGTTACCGTCTTTGTTGTTTTGATCGCGTTTCGCTCAATAAAGAGTATGTTTGCCTGCAACGCTGCGCCTTGGTCCTCATCTGTTCCCGACGATCGTGACAACTAGGATCAGTTTGGCCTTTTAAATCATAATGAATAAGAGATATATACATTTATAAAGATATAAATAATGAATACATACAATGAACAAAAATATAAACGCAACATGCAACAATTTCAAAGATTTTACTAAGTTACAGTTCATATAAGGAAATCAGTCAATTGAAAAAAATCATTAGGCCCTAGTATATGGATTTCACATGACTGGGAATACAGATATGCATCTGTTGGTCGCAGATACCTTAAAAAATAAGGTTGGGGTGTGGATCAGAAAACCAGTCAGTATCTGGTGTGACCACCATTTGCCTCCTTCGTTTAGAGTTGATCAGGCTGTTGATTGTGGCCTGTGGAATGTTGTCCCACTGGCTGTGCAAGTTGCTGGATATTGACGAGAACTGGAACACATTGTCGATCCAGAGCATCCCAAACATGCTCAATGGGTGACGTGTCTGGTGAGTATGCAGGCCATGGAAGAACTGGGACATTTTCAGCTTCCAGAAATTGTGTACAGATCCTTGCGTCATGGGGCCGTGCAGTATCATGCTGAAACATGAGGTGATGGCAGCGGATGAATGGCACAACAATGGGCCTCAGGATCTCGTCACGGTATCTCTGTGCATTCAAACTGCCATCGATAAAATGCATTTGTGTTGGTTGTCCGTAGCTTATGCCTGCCCATACCATAACCCCACCGCCACCATGGGGCACTCTGTTCACAGCGTTGACTTTAGCAAACCGCTCGCCTCAATGACGTCATACACACGGTCTGCCATATGCCCAGTACAGTTGAAACCGGAATTAATCCGTGAATAGCACACTTCTCCAGTGTGCACACTTCTTCTTTGGTTACGCAAGCCCACAGTATCATCAGCTGTCCGGGTGGCTGGTCTCAGACAATTCTGCAGGTGAAGAAGCCGGATGTGGAGGTCCTAGGCTGGCATGGTTACATGTGGTCTGCGGTTGTGAGGCCGGTTGGACGTACTGCCAAATTCTCTAAAACGACATTGGATGCAGCTTATGATAGAGAAATGAACATTCTGGCAACAGCTCTGGTGGACATTCCTGCAGTCAGCATGCCAATTGCAAGCTCCCTCAAAACTTGAGATATCTGTGGCATTGTGCTGTGTTAGAAAACGGCACATTTTAGAGTGACCATTTATTGTCCACAGCACAAGGTGCACCTGTGTAATGATCATGCTGTTTAATCAGCTTCTTGATATGCCATACCTGTCAGGTGGATGGAATATTTTGGCAAATGAGAAATGCTCACTAGCAGGGATGTAAAAAGAAATGTGTGCACAAAAATTTAGAGACATTTTAAATATTTTATTTCAGCTCATGAAACATGGGACCAACACTTTACATGTTGCGTTTATATTTTTGTTCAGTGTAGATATACTGTATAATATAGCACATACATTATATCATATAAATCAATTTCTTATCTTGCAAAGCCACACAAATCCTTAGTGTTAGGCAAACAATATATTGAGAGATATATAGTGATTGTTATCTGATCTGATTGACGGTGTATGTTGTCTCCTGCAGCGGGCCACACTCTGGAGCTGCTTGAGCCCCTGGTCAAATTCCAGGTGGGCCTGAAAAAACTCAACCTCCACGAGGAGGAACACGTGCTGCTCATGGCCATCTGCCTCCTCTCCCCAGGTACACACTAACACTGGGTGTGTGTGTGGGGGGGGGGGGGGGGAGTGTGTGTCTGTCATTAATTGTTTATGCGAGTCTCCTTGTTTTTGTGAGGATCAGTTAGCTTGTGGGGGGGACTGTTGAAATGTGCATTTGTGTGAGTGTGTTTTTGTGTGTCTTTGTGCTGAAGTTCACACACTCAAGTCTCAGTGTCTGCTTACACTCGTGTGTGTGTGTGTATATCTTGTACATTTTTGTCAGTCAGTGCATATACAGTGCATTTGGAAAGTATTCAGACCCCTTTACTTTTCCCACATTTTGTTACGTTACAGCCTTACTCTAAAATTGATTAAATAATTTGTTTCCCTCATCAATCTACACACAATACCCCATAATGACAAAGCGAAAACAGGTTTTTAGAAATGTTTGCACATTTCATACAAATAAAAAACAGAAATACCTTATTTACATAAGTATTCAGACCCTTTGCTATGAGACTCGAAATTGAGCTCAGGTGCATCCTTGTGTACATTGATCATCCTTGAGAGGATTCTACAACTTGATTGGAGTTCACCTGTGGTAAATTCAATTGATTGGACATGATTTGGAAAGGCACAGGATCGATATAACGTCCCACAGTTGAAAGTGAATGTCAGAGCAAAAACCAAGCCATGAGGTCGAAGGAATTGTCCGTAGAGCTCAGAGACAGGATTGTGTCGAGGCACAGATCTGGGGAAGGGCACCAAAACATTTATGCAGCATTGACAGTCCCCAAGAGCACAGTGGCCTCCATCATTCTTAAATGGAAGAAGTTTAGAACCACCAAGACACTTCCTAGAGCTGACCGCCCGGCCAAACTGAGCAATCGGGGGAGAAGGGCCTTGGTCAGGGAGGTGACCATTAACCCGATGGTCACTCTGACAGAGCTCTAGAGTTTCTCTGTGGAGATGGGAGAACCTTCCAGATGGACAAACATCTCTGCAGCACTCCACCAATCAGGCCTTTATGGTAGAGTGGCCAGACAGAAGCCACTCCTCAGTAAAAGGCACATGACAGCCAACTTGGAGTTTGCCAAAAGGCACCAAAAGGACTCTCGGACCATGAGAAACAAGATTCTCTAGTTTGATGAAACCAAGATTGAACTCTTTGGTCTGAATGCCAAGTGTCACGTCTGGAAGAAACCTGGCACCATCCCTATGTTGAAGCATAATGGTGGCAGCATCATGATTTGAGGAGGTTTTTGGGGAGAAACTCCCCAAATACAGGTGTGCCAAGCTTGTAGCGTCATACCCAAGAATACTCAAGGCTGTAATCGCTGCCAAAGGTGCTTCAACAAAGTACTGAGTAAAGGGTCTGAATACTTATGTAAATGTTTTTTTTTTTTTTACATTTGCAAAAATGTCTAAACCTGTTTTTGCTTTGTCATTATTGGGTATTATGTGTAGATTGATGAGGTAAAAAACTATTTAAACAATTTTAGAATAAGGCTCTAAGGTAACAAAATGTGGAAAAAGTAAAGGGGTCTGAAAACTTTCCGAATGCGCTGTACATGCATGCTTTGCATGCCTGTGTTTGTACATTACATACTATTAGTTGATTTCTTACCTCATGAATTCCTCGGTGTCTGATAATGTGTGTGTATATACACTGAGTATACCAAAGATTAGGAACACCTTACTAAAATTGAGTTGCACTCCCTTTTGCCCTCAGAACAGCCTCAATTCGTCGGGGCATGGACTCTACAAGGTGTCGAAAGCGTTCCACTGGAATACTGGCCCATGTTGACTCCAATGCTTCCCACATTTGTGTCAAGTTGGCTGGATGTCTTTTGGGTGGTGGACCATTCTTGATACACACAGGAAACTGTTGAGCGTGAAAAACCCAGCAGCGTTGCAGTTCTTGACACAAACCGGTGCGCCTGGCACATACTACCATACCCCATTCAAAGGCACTTAAATCTTTTGTCTTGCCCAAATCTTTTGTCTTGCCTCTGAATGGCACACATACACAATCAATGGCTCAATTGTCTCAAGGCTTAAAAATCCTTCTTAAACCTGTCGCCTCCCCTTCATTTACACTGATTTAAGTGGATTTAACAAGTGACATCAATAAGAGATCATAGCTTTCACCTGGATTCACCTGTCTATGTCATGGAAATGTTTTGTATACTCAGTGTAGATTTCCTGTACAACACATGCAAGCGTGTTGTACATTACATAATATTAGCAAAATTGATTTATTTTCTCATGAAACCACACATATACTTTGTTTTAGGCTGAGGTTAGGCTAATATAAGCTTTTGTTCATGGCTGTGGGGAGGTGTGCCCCTTTTCATACAATAAGGTCATTTCTGGACATTATTTCTGTCCATTTTGCAGACCCCTTTTGGCTCAAGAGCACCTCTCTGAGACAACAGTTCTGTATAGCCTCTTTAAAGTCTTACCAGCCATGTCTTCCCCTCCCTTCGTACTGTCTGGTATGGTGCTGGAGATAATGAATATGAAGAAGCCCTTTAAAGTCTTACCGTCCGTGTCTCCCTGCCCCTCTCTCTCCTTTCTCTCCCCTCCAGACCGCCCCGGCGTGCAGGATCACGGGCGCATCGAGGCCCTACAGGACCGTTTGTCGGAGACGCTGCAGGCCTACATCCAGCTGCACCACCCGGGCGGCCACCTGGTGTATGCCAAAATGATCCAGAAGCTGGCGGACCTGCGCAGCCTGAACGAGGAGCACTCCAAGCAGTACCGCTCGCTGTCCTTCCAGCCCGAGCACAGCATGCAGCTGACCCCGCTGGTGCTGGAGGTGTTCGGCAGCGAGGTCTCCTAAATTAACACTTTTTGGTGACCTTTGATGGAGGTGGAGAGGTGGACGCAAGGTCATAGGAGAGGTGGGAGGAGAGTATGAGGTGGGAGCTATAGGAATGTGGTTAGATGGACTGTGGATGGTGTGAGTGTAAGTGTGTGAGTGAGGGAGGGAGGGAGAAGGTGCGCGTGTGTGTTATGGGGAGGGGGAGGGGGAGGGGGAGAGGGGGGTATAGAAGTGTGTGTTAGAAAGTCCCCTGCCGAGTGTGCATGTGCATGTGTGCGTGAGGAGCTTTGGTAGGTCGGTAGGTCAGGCCTGGGACTGGGTACCTGAGGAGCTGTTGACTGGAACATGCAAAGCGATGGGGAGCGAATGATACAAACAAGGGAATTTTCTTCAGAACCATACGTACATGGAACTTCTGCCTATATTTGACATGTACGCTTACCTTGGCATTTAACAGACAGTATATTGACAAACAGTATTGCATCTTGTGTGCCGGTATATACAGTACACTGTGTGCTTTTTGTGTGTGTGTCATGCATCACACATACACATGATCACACACACACATAAGCACACTCACATACAGTTAGCCAATATGTTGGAGCTACCTCTGGTTTTCCTCTTTTTCAGTTTTTGTATTCACAAATATCTTTGTATTCACAAATACACACAGCATAGAACCTTAAAAATGCATGATAACATTTGAGTCGTGGATTGCTATTAGATACTAGAGTGTCACTGGAGCGAAAACAGTGCCTGCAAAGTATTTCCACCTCTTTCTGTCACCCTTTCTCCAGTTATTCTGCTCAATCGCTTCACTCAAGGGCAAGTGTTTGAGTGTACGTATATGCCGCAAAACACACGTCCTTCACCTCTGCCAAAGGTATTGTCAATGCTCTCTAAGCTTCCAGGCTTCTCCTAGTGTAGCCACATGACGCCTTTTCTGTGCACACTCACCATTTGTGCTAGCTATCGCTAACTAGCCTCTAGGAATTGATGAAGGAAATGTGTATACTCTAAATAGATTTATACAGCCTACAGAATATTATCTGTAACCTGGAAATAGTTTGGTTGTGGAGTAGTGTGCGGGGCTGTGGCTGTTAAGGCACTAAAACAAGCTGTCAATCAAACCAAGCCAGATTTCTGGTTGGTTAGTTTCTTAATTTTTTTTTGGGGGGGGGGATTATGATGGCTGTAAATAGACGTAGCTACAACTTCTATGTATCCCGAACACTACTACCTGTACTCAAGCGTATCATTTAATATATGTCTATGTTCAAGTTCTATCACCGTTTTTAAAGGGTTATCTGGACAGGATCTTAAAACAATTCCATGAATTGTTCCTTTTTTCCCTCAAATGTACAGTTTTTAGTAGGTGGAGTGTTTCAAAGCTGCTTCTTCACAGATATCACCCCTTTCGTTTCCAACTAGGAAGTGGAATTATTTGAAAAGAATGTCTAGAGGACTCAGATGGACTGTTTTGTTTTTTGACATGTCCGAGTCCTCCGGTTTGATGTTGTATGCTGCGCAGCCCTCCAGTGGCTGCATCCTGTAAATACTACGTATCGATACAAAGACCGCAGCTGTACATAGGGCTACATAGATATTACTACTACTAATGCTTAGTAAGGAAATTATTGAATTATATATGCAAACAAACATGATATTGATGACCATGTTTTACGACTTATTCTCACTTTCTCTCTCTGAAACACTATGCTTTCGCAACTTTATTTATATATATATATATATATATATATATATATATATATATATATATATATATACATACACTACCATTCAAAAGTTTGGGGTCACTTAGAAATGTCCTTGTTTTCGAAAGAAAATCATTTTTTTGTCCATTAAAATAACATCAAATTGATCAGAAATTCACTGTATATTGTTAATGTTGTAAATGGCTATTGTAGAAGGAAACGGCTGATTTTTAATGGAATATCTACATAGGCGTACAGAGGCCCATTATCAGCAACCATCAGTCCTGTGTTCCAATGGCACATTGTGTTTGCTAATCCAAATTTATCATTTTAAAAGGCTAATTGATCATTAAAAAACCTTTTTGCAATTATGTTAGCACAGCTGAAAACTGTTGTGCTGATTTAAAGAAGTAATAAAACTGGCCTTATTGAGACTAGTTGAGTATCTGGAGCATCAGCAATTGTGGGTTCGATTACAGGTTAAAAATGGCCAGAAACAAATAACTTTAGTCTGAAACTTGTCAGTCTATTCTTGTTCTGAGAAATGAAGGCTATTCCATGCGAGAAATTGCCAAGAAACTGAAGATCTCGTACAACGCTGTGTACTACTCCCTTTACAGAACAGCACAAACTGGCTCTAACCAGAATAGAAAGAGGAGTGGGAGGCCCCGGTGCACAACTGAGCAAGAGGACAAATACATTAGAGTGTCTAGTTTGAGAAACAGACGCCTCACAGGTCCTCAACTGGCAGCTTCATTAAATAGTACCCGCAAAACACCAGTCTCAACGTCAACAGTGAAGAGGCGACTCCGGGATGCTGACCTTCTAGGCAGAGTTGCAAAGAAAAAGCCATATTTCAGACTGGCCAATAAAAAGAAAAGATTAAGATGGGCAAAAGAACACAGACACTGGACAGAGGAAGATTGGAAAAAAGTGTTATGGACAGACAAATCGAAGTTTGAGGTGTTTGGATCACAAAGAAGAACATTTGTGAGATGCAGACCAAATGAAAAGATGCTGGAGGAGTGCTTGATGCCATCTGTCAAGCATGGTGGAGGCAATGTGAGGGTCTGGGGGTGCTTTGGTGGTAGTAAAGTGGGAGATTTGTACAGGGTAAAAGGGATCTTGAAGAAGGAAGGCTATCACTCCATTTTGCAACGCCATGCCATACCCTGTGGACGGCTCTTGATTGGAGCCAATTTCCTCCAGCAACAGGACAATGACCCAAAGCACAGCTCCAAACTATGCAAGAAATATTTAGGGAAGAAGCAGTCAGCTGGTATTCTGTCTATAATGGAGTGGCCAGCACAGTCACCGGATCTCAACCCTATTGAGCTGTTGAGGGAGCAGCCTGACCGTATGGTATGTAAGAAGTGCCCATCAAGCCAATCCAACTTGTGGGAGGCGCTTGAGGAAGCATGGGGTGAAATCTCTTCAGATTACCTCAACAAATTGACAACTAGAATGCCAAAGGTCTGCAAGGCTGTAATTGCTGAAAATGGAGGATTATTTGACGAAAGCAAAGTTTGAAGGACACAATTATTATTTCAATTAAAAATCATTATTTCTAACCTTGTCGATGACTACATTTCCTATTAATTTTGATATATTTCCTATTCAAACTCATTTCATGTATGTTTTCATGGAAAACATGGACATTTCTAAGTGACCCCAAACTTTTGAACAGTAGTGTATATGGATTCATCTATATATGTTTGGGTGTGAGTGAGTGATTGGCAATGCGCTAGCTGCCTAATTTCAGAATCGGATTGATTGATTGACGCATTGGCTAAGGTTGTGTGGTTGGCGCCTTTCCTTTGGTTTCTCATTTGGGAGAAAGAAGATGTTCTACAAGCTGAATTTACAGTGCTGCTCTCTAATATAAGCCATATAGAAGGAGAGAAAAACAAGAAAAGCCAATTTAAAGAAATGTAGCTCGTATTTATTAGTAGCTATTGATTTCATGGGGCTTTAGATACACAATTTATATATCTAGTATGTTTATTTCTATGGCTCAGATATGCTATTGTACTTGTATAAAGTAGAACCAACTCATATGCTTTCGATCTCTTCATTCCCCTGTCCATTCAAGAACCTTGTGTAAGGTCACCCAAGGGTGTGCAACATGTTGGCTGTGTGGATTAGGTGAGTTCACCCATACAATGTAAAGCACTTAAATCCAATCCATTATTATTAACTATTTAGGCTACTCTACAGAGACCTTAAAAGCAGGGGCGTCATGGATCAAATAGTTTTTAGGGAGCACCTGTTGACCACATTTAATGTCCTATCACCTGTTCCAGTGTTCAGAATGACCTACATGTATATCATATTGTAAAGCAAGTGAATGGACACTGAGGATCGCTTTCCCTGGACACGGTTTATTAAATCTAGTTGGAAAATAGAGAATGTCCATTCATTTTTAGTCCAGGACTAGGTTTAGCCTAATCTGTGTGCCAGAAAATGGCCGAAGAGGCTATAATGAGTTCTTGGTGTATGGTGAAGTTACCCTTAGACGCTGATCTTGGGTCATTTCCCCCACTAATGGTTAAGGTTAGGAAGGGGGAAGCTGATCCTAGATCTGTACCTAGGGATTACTTCTCCCCGGAGTCTATAGTATCTCCTTCTGTTTTAATGGGCATGACACATTGACTTCCTGGAATGTTTCAATTATGTCAGCCTATAGCTTTGGCCTCGAAGCTATGACACTGACATCATCTGGGGAAATTCTCAAAAAGAGGGGAAATTGATTTCATGAGTCGAGGTAGACGGCGCACTCTTGTACATCCTGTCCTTCAGTTCATGTACGCGTGTGTCACTTCTGCTTCAACTAGTCTCGTGATTGGCCAAACAGAAACTACTGTGGCACTTAGTTATGACATCATCGCTATAGGCTACAGAGAGGGCTATTTTGTGGTCTTCTTGCAGGAAGTGGGGGAGAACAAAGGGCTCTGTCTTCCTACTGTTGAAGGAACGTTATCAGAACATTGTGTTCTTAGCGTACAGTAAACCTTGCTTTAAAACATTAGACGTCAGATAGTGGACCACAGCCTACTCCATCACTCTCCCCCTTATTGACAGTTATTCATTATATTATTTGTCCCCTCCCAGCCCCCATAGCAAATGTTCCGTTGACTGACTGCAGAAAAAATGACTTTTTAATTGATTTTTTATCGATTAAGCTATATGTCGTATAAAGTGATATTGTTCTACAAATCACACTAAATACCTAGTGTGAGAGATTCACTTACATAGGCACCTGATGATTCGTGGAATTGTTTTAGTTCATACGATTGATTGACA